AATTTAAACTGATAAATCAGTGAATCTTGTTAACACAGTCAGAATAAACAAACAAGAAGCCAATTGCGGCATGCCCAGACTTGATATAAATGTTTGGAAGTCATTTGTTTTAGTCTCTTCAGTGGCATTTTAATATCTTGCATTAATGGCAATTCTTAGAAATGGAAATTTTTAGCAGAGATTTTCTTAAAGTTTGTTTTATAGAAACTCTTCAAATATTCCTGAAGACTCCATGGCGGCAAGTTAAACTGTGAATTAGTTAGATTAGACTTTGAGGTGACACAGTTGGTTCTTTCATTTTGAAACAGATTCCTTGCGTAGTTCAAAGAGGTAAACTAACGCCTTTCTGTAAATGACTTTTTGTCGCCAAAAAGGCCCTCAGGTGTTGAGAAGGGTAATGGGACAAGGAAACTTCCTAAAGTCTACAGATTTCACGGCTTCTTGTAAAATGTATACGGTTTTTCATGTGTCAGGTTGTTTCAAGTCTTCAATTAGGTAATGCTCTTTACCCTCAAATATATCTTCTCGTTTAAACTGGTTTTGAAATCAATGTTAATTTAAAGTGGTTTCGTGGAAAATCAAAACCGAAAAAAAAAAATATATATATATATGATCATTCCTGGCAACAGAATGAGACCATACTATTGCACGATGATGTTATAATATAATTGGTTCTTGTGATAAAATGAGTCAGAAAAATTATCCAGAATCAACACCAATCTGTCATTTATCGTTAGCTACTATTACAGACTGCATGATGTTTAGCTGCCTTGCTGGTAACAGCTCCATGTAGTTCTAATAAACAAAGCCACTTATCAACTGTTAAAGTCAAACCTTGATAAAAGTAGGCTTGATATGATATAAATTCCATATCCTAAGGTGAAATGATAATCATGACTGTTAAGAAGAGTCCACTGAGTTCTGCTAGATCCAGGGGCTTTTAATTCACAAAAAAATAGTTCTTGCATGCCTTGCGTGCCTATGTTTTGTTAGGTGGCTCAATTGGATTTTTGGCTAACAATACCGTTCAACTTTGAGCGACTAGAGCACCACTATTATCAATCCAATAGAAAATCAAATGTTACTGGTGTGCTAGAGAAAGGTGAAAGTTTCAAATGGGGTACATTTCACCAGGATCTGAGTTACCATAGCAACAAACATGTCACACTTTCACTCATATCACGTTAACACAGTCACACGGAGGGTAAGCGGTGCATGCAAATGGAGAATCACTATGCTGAATGTCTTGTTTATGTTTAGCATAAACATTATCAAGACATATAGTTTTATTGTACTGCTAGCTCACTGGAGAGCAATCGCACGTTTTATTAATTCATGACGTACAGAAATGAACAATAGCATGGTGATTCGAGACAAAAGACAATTATAATAAAGACAACAAGCAACACGAGTGAAAATCAGCACAATATCTTCCTGAGTTGAGGCTGAAAATTAGCAGCCTTATGTAAAATGTATCAATTCATTTGAAACTTTGGGATTACATTGAATATGGATTAATCTCATTGAGGACCAAGTCAAAAAAATATTTATCAGTGTTTTTTAATTCCTGCCCAATTTAATTCTTTTATATAAAAAGCAAAATAACACCCCAC